TCGCTCGAGGAGATGCGAGATCAGGCCATCGGCATCAGGGAAGGAATTTTTATTTTTATTTTGCCTTTTTCAAAATCAGATCATGGCTTGCTTTTGTTTTAGATTTACGTGGCTGGGTACCTACTAGGCTACTAGTGTTACTGTTAGATTTATATGTTCAGACTTTTGGTGATTTCTTCTATACAAAGCATTAAGCAATACTTATTAGATATGTCATAATCATGATAATGATAATGACCTAGGCCTACCTATTAAATTGACACTAGGCCCTATGAATTTATTGAATTACAGTACATCTATTACTCTATTCTATTTAATTTATATTTCATAGCAATTTGTTAATGATACTGAATTACAGATTACTGACGTGCCCATTGTATGATTTTGCCAGAATAAAGTTTTTATTTTTTAATTTTTTCTATGTAGATTGTAGGGTAAACGCGGTAAGTGACTAAGCGGTTACGCGGTAGCCTATACTCCGACATCTTGGGTAATTCTGACACTTCTCAACTTTTTTCCTTTATATTAAGCTTTGTCTTAGTTCCAACTTGCGCGCATTCGTTGATGGTTGAAATAGTGATGTCATTATACCATGGTCAGGAAGATGTGCCAGGTGCGCGGGAATTTATTTTGTCATTTTAACGACCTGCGCGGTGCGCCGTACTATGCTGGTAAAAAAATGCGCCGTGCGCCGTACTTTAGAAAGCTAAAATAGTTCTACTATTTAAGTCTGAAAATTTCTTCTAAAATAAAGTTCTAGATTTCTCATTCACCAAATTTCTGTATCAAGAAAAATCATATATTATTGAAAGATAATTAAAGGCATACTGTACTGAGTAATGTGAGTATTACGTCTGTTCCTCCTGGCTCCACATACTGCTCGTGCGCTCGTTCTACTATTTTAGTCTGAAAATTTCTTCTAAAATAAAGTTCTAGATTTCTCATTCACCAAATTTCCGTATCAAGAAAAATCATATATTATTGAAAGATAATTAAAGGCATACTGTATTGAGTAATGTGAGTATTATGTCTGTTCCTCCACATACTGCTCGTGCGCGGCACTGCGGCAGCACGATGTAGAATTGATGGCCGGGATTGTGCGAACGTGTGCATGAAGAGAATCAATTTTTATTACATTGCGCCAACTGAGCACAGCAATAGCTTAAAAAAAATGAAAATGCGCGGGAAAATTCACCAAAAACATATATCATCCTGAGTGTGGACTGTGGATGTCATACTATTGTGCGCCTGGCGCCATACTATTTCCAAAACACTAGGTAGTTCTGTGCCATCTGGCGGCCAGCAGGAAAATGTTAAGATTTAAAGAGAGACAGTGCATGTCACCCAGTGACAGGTGAGAACATCGAAAAATGTGTCGAAGTTGATAGTTGACCTTGCTCTACCAAATACGGCAAATAGTGATAAACTGTTTGTGTAGAAAGAATATTATGGTTTGAGACTTTTAAATAAGTCTGTGAATATATTAGGAATCCTTTAAGTATACCTGTATTTGCTGATTTCAAGTGGTAAATAAANCAGGAATTTTTCAAAGCTAGTAAATGTCGTATTTTTCGACTGCCTTTATACTACATAGATAGGAAAAATGTTGACGTTTACGCCACTATATTTAGTTTTGCAATATTCCAATTAGTTTCGCTACTATAACAGTTTTACGCCGTGTCGGAGGTGCGTCCCGAGTTGCCCCGCCAGTCCCGAGTTGCCCCGGTTGACGGTACTGCTCACACAGGGCGTCGGAATTCCAACACAGGGCGCCCCGGCGCCGGAATAACAAATTAATAGAGTTAGAAGCGCTGCCAGAATTTGTCTCACAATATGCCAAATTTAGTCACACACAGCGTTGGAATTCAGGGATTTTGTAGGTTTGTATTCTAAAGGCTTTTAAATAAATATTGCAACATTTTGTGACGTTTCATTGTTGCTGGCGCATAGTGTGGTGTTTTGAGAGTGATATAAAGCAATCAGAACTCGAGTTGCACATACGGTAATATTTTTATAGCCACTCATTTCTTGCTACGTCCTTAATATGTCGGAATATACCGCGTTTACCTTATTGACAAATTTTCATTCTATATTATGCCTGAGAAATGTTGGAGAAAAAAATGTATGCAATGGGCTCACAGGCATCAGAGGCTCAGCTGCTTAGTTCTGAATGGATTAATTTGGATATACATGAAATTTGAAATGTATGTAATTAATTGCCAGACTCTTCAGTAGATATTGATGCATATTTTTTTTGTGGCTTTGTTTTTGATTCAAACTAGGGTCAGCACTCAGTTTTACAAGCATGGAAAACATTTACCTCTAGGACTGCAACTGGAGCTTTCCTGTCATTTATAGAACCGCGAGATTTCTGCCAGATGAATTACCTCAGGACTATCTAATTGTCAACAAAAGTGCACAATTGGGCCACAATATTCCAAATGTATTAAAAATTTGTCACTCTGGAGCTGCAAGATTTCAGAAATGACTTCATGGATATGGTAATATTATATCAATTATATGGTAATGTATGGATATGGTAATATCATATCTGTAAAGGAAAAACAATTGAAAATCACAGAAAATGTAATTTATTCTACATATACATCATCTAGCTACAAAGGAAAAGGAGGACTTCAGATTACTGTTAGTAATAGACTAGTAGTTTTATTTCAAGTATCCCGGATTACGTACCCCATTTAAAGTCCGGAAAACAAGTCTTGTCCCCATCCATCATAATTTACCCTCTGTCCCATTGTCCCCAAACAAATTTGCCCTCTGTCCCATTATTTCTTTCCTGGTAATGTCTCATCTCATCCCGGTTGGCTCAGTTCATTTAAAGAAAATTATTCTGAGATGCAGGAGTTTATGTAGCATGTAAAAATGTATGTAAAGTGTAGACTACTGCAGTATCTGCTAAGTGGTGAACTACTAATAAGTGTGTCATTTATGTCAGTTTATGTTGTAAGCAAACATCATCAACAGTATTATAGGGTATTCAATAACAAGGTTTGAGTTGAGTGAAGTTGATGTCTACTGTGTGGCAACTCGCCTGTCATTGAGAGTTGAGAGCAGGCAAGGAGTGAAAAATATCTACTTTTCAAGCCATGAAGCCCATAACAAGAGCTCTCCTGAATCAGTGAGATTCCCACTGGATGAATTATCTCCCATCTAATAAATTTTGTAATTGGGATGTGAGATTCTTAAGTTATTGAAAATGTTATTTTGGAGCTGCTGTGCATGTCAGAAGTCCTATGGGATTTTGCACTCCTAGGGGGATTGTTTCTGAGCGCCCCACCGTTGAGCTCCTGGTGTCTGACTGCAGATCTCAGTTGTGGGGTTAAGTTATTATGTAGGTAGGATTACTTACATTAACTTATTATGTAGGTAGGATCCTTTACATTTCCCTTCTCTGTCCCTCTCGTGCAGGTGGCCAAAGTCCGGTGTAAGGGACATCTTGTTCGAGTGTCTTAGTTTCTGTTGCTTTTCACCTGTCCCTCCTTGTCACTTCGTCTCTTTGAGATGCTAACGCTGCTTCTCTCGAGCCAGCTTCAGCGGGCTGGACATCTGAGACCTTCCACCCCTTGTGGGTGATGACTTATTTTTGATTTGAGAAACTTTTGATGATTGAGAACTTCCACTTCTTTGGTGATGTTCAACATGACTTTTGGTGCGAGGTAGCTAAATAGCTGAAGCGCTAGTAAACATGTGGCCACTAAACTAACTAACTATTTTGGAGCTGGGAAATTTTTGTTTTAACCCTCTACCTCTGCACCCATGTCACTCTCTGGGGACATTACTTTCAACTTAAATTATACGTAAACTATTGAGTGTAGCAAACTGAGGATGTTAGTACATGACAGAGAACATTTTAAAGTTGTATGTGGTGGCAACCATCTGTGCAAGTCATTTAGTGCTCACTAGAACGTATCCTTTTTGGGAGTAGGCATGTGACATTATTGTTCCTGTTACTCATGTCTGGTGGTAGAGGGTTAAGTACTACTAAGTAGTTAATTTCTAATCTTGATTAGCAGCAGTCTCTAAGCCTTTATTAGAATTTTGTATCTTGTTCGAGTGTCTTAGTTTCTGTTGCTTTTCACCTGTCCCTCCTTGTCACTTCGTCTCTTTGAGATGCTAACGCTGCTTCTCTCGAGCCAGCTTCAGCGGGCTGGACATCTGAGACCTTCCACCCCTTGTGGGTGATGGCTTATTTTTTATTTGAGAAACTTTTGATGATTGAGAACTTCCACTTCTTTGGTGATGTTCAACATGACTTTTGGTGCGAGGTAGCTAAATAGCTGAAGCGCTAGTAAACATGTGGCCACTAAACTAACTAACTATTTTGGAGCTGGGAAATTTTTGTTTTAACCCTCTACCTCTGCACCCATGTCACTCTCTGGGGACATTACTTTCAACTTAAATTATACGTAAACTATTGAGTGTAGCAAACTGAGGATGTTAGTACATGACAGAGAACATTTTAAAGTTGTATGTGGTGGCAACCATCTGTGCAAGTCATTTAGTGCTCACTAGAACGTATCCTTTTTGGGAGTAGGCATGTGACATTATTGTTCCTGTTACTCATGTCTGGTGGTAGAGGGTTAAGTACTACTAAGTAGTTAATTTCTAATCTTGATTAGCAGCAGTCTCTAAGCCTTTATTAGAATTTTGGCCTTTGCATGTATCCATTTTGCAACCTTGAAAAATTCTAAAATCGTTTGTTCAAATTCAACTTGTGATTGAAATTTTTTAAGCTGTGTAAAACAATTTTTCTACTGGTACAAACTTTGTTGCCATGTCATTAGTTTTATATCAAATCTTTCATTTTACCCTTAAATTAAGGGTAAGCAATTAAGCATTTTATTCATTAAATTTTATTTATAAGTAATCTGTAAAATTCAATTGTATAACTTAATTCTAATGAGTTGAAGCTAAATTCTTCAATTCCCAAGTTGAAATAATTATTTTATTCAGTAATAATCCTCAATTCCATTTTTTCCAGATTTTGTATTTAGGTGCTTTAGAAATAAATATTTCAAAATTAGTAAATTCGTCATGCTCATCTGCAGAGCTCCCTATAGTGTCATACTTTTTGGATCCTTCTTGCTATTTTTCCCAATTGAAATTGAAACATCGGTGGTTTTTAATGCTTCCAATGATTGTGTTATTCTTTGTAGTGGAGAAATTCTCAAGAATGTACAGCTATCTCAATTATTCAATGACAGTGGTTATTTTGTTCGAATGAAGCTGCTTGCTGATCCAGCTGTTATAGAGCAGAAGTTTATGGAATTGAAAAATAGATCCAAAAATATTGATAAAAATGTACTGAAAATCTTTGTAGATGAATGGTTTTTACCTCCTGGATCAGATCTAGAGAGTTTTACACTTCCTGATTGGACAGAAGTGCCTCGTTTTATTGAGGAAATACATGACAAAGCCTTGAGAAATTGGATGATTGATCTGAATAAAATATGGAAGGAACTGGCAAAGAAGATACCTGAAGATGTTAAGGAAAATTCGTCTTTGTATTCTCAGATATATTTACCAAATGGTTTTGTGATTCCTGGCGGCTTCTTCCAGGAAATTTATTACTGGGATAGTTATTGGATAATTGAAGGTCTATTAATTTCTGAAATGAAGACCACAGCTCGTGGTATGATTGAAAACCTTCTTCATCTTGTCAAAAAATATGGGTACGTTCCAAATGGCTCTCGAAAATACCTCCTTGGCCGTTCGCAGTTCCCGATGTTGATTTCTATAACAGATTTATATTACCATTATACTCGTGATTTCACTATCATACGTGACAACATTGATACACTGGTAATAGAATACGAGTTCTGGGTTGCCAATCGCACCGTTCAATTTTCGCTAGGTCACTTGAATTACACACTTTTCCATTATTCTGTAAGCTCTGACCAGCCCAGACCAGAATCTTACTTGGCCGACAATACTCTCGTTCAAAATGTCTCTGAAACCAAAGCCGCTCTCATGTACGGAGATATTAAAGCGGCGGCTGAGAGTGGATGGGATTTTTCTTCTCGCTGGTTTATTAATAACGGCGTCGAAACTGAACAAATGAGTTATATTGAAACACGTGTTATAGCCCCTGTTGACCTTAACAGTATTATGTGTCGCAATGCGCATCTGCTCTCTGTTTATTATGATAAATTGAAAAATGTTGACCGATCAAAGTATTACAGAGAAAAAGCAGCTACCATGAATTCTACAATCAGTAGACTATTTTGGGATGAAGCAAGAGGTTTCTGGTTCGACTTCAACCTTGAGACCAAAGAATTGGAGAAAGAATTCTACGGTGCTGGTTTTGTTCCTCTTTGGGCAAGAACTTTCGGTATTGAGCGCAACAGCTCATATGTCATTTCAAAAGTGATAAATTTCTTGAACTCTCTGAACCTTACTTCTTTTCCTGGTGGTGTACCTGCATCTTTAATTTCAAGCGAGCAACAGTGGGACTATCCAAACGGTTGGGCACCATTGCAGTACTTCGCTGTCGTGGGGCTACGCAAGGCCGCTGTTTACAACGCAGATGCTGGAATCTTAGCTGAATCCCTTGCTCGCAAGTGGGTGCTGAATAATTACTACGGCTATATCAACAGCAGCCCTCATCTTATGATGGAAAAGTATGACGTAACACATTTAGGGACACCGGGCTCGGGTGGAGAGTATCCAGTACAAGCTGGCTTTGGTTGGACAAATGGCGTTGTCATGAAGTTCATGCACCTCTATCCCCACTCTATTCGCACCACCCAGGTCCAGGGATATGCTCCTATCTGCGTCGCAGCGGTGCTACTGCTCACGATGACAACCTCTTTGACGTTGTATGTTTACAGAATACGTTGTTCCGATACATCTTCTCGATCTGTGCGCATTGGCCTCATGTGATTTTCTGTAATAAATTATTTCTATTTTTTTTACAAACAACAAAGTACATTATTCTACTTGAAGTACCAGGAGTATTTGTAGGGGAAAATTGCAAGGAAAATTGTGATTAATCTCAGCCGTTCCGACTGACTTAGCAAATATATATTTTTGAAAAATTGAATAACTATATGTTTTCCTGTGATTGTTTCGTTTATATTTTATCTGAAACTTCTTCCAAAAAAGACCAAGTCGCATATTTTCATCCCGGACAACACAAGGAGTAATTTTTAAATTTCATCACTTGAGAATGATCTTATTAAGAAAAAAAAGTATCCCTTTACCATTAATTTGGCTTTTTACCTCTACTTGGCTTGGCTTTTTGCGTTTTAGTTTCATCTGCTGAAGATTTGAACTGTGTATTTGTGCGTGCTTTTGTAATTCGCTACCTTTCATTTTGACATTTTAAGTTCAGTTTGTCAATGGCCCTGTTATTTTCTCTCTTTAGTTGGTGGCCGACCTGGAATAGAATTCTTAACGTTGCATACGGTACGTTGCATTGTTTTAAGTCACGGTCTTGTTATTGAAGTAGACATCACTTTATGATATTGAACCCGTAATGAACCGTTCTCAAGGTGTATAATCTGTATTACCTACCTACATGTTTGGTAAAATATTGGTAAAATCACTCAAAAAATATCTGACTTTGGTGTAAGATGCAATTATAATAACGTATAATTGAACAGATCTGACTAACAAATCAATCGTGTATGTGGTTATCATTTACTCAATGTTTGCAAACATCAAGTTCACTTGTCAAACTTATTTTCTCTACACAACTGTTCCAGGTCTTAAGTTAAAACTTGCTTCCTAACGTGTTTATTATCTTGAGAACGTTTACACCGCTTGCTTTTATTATGTGTGTGAGAAACATAAGCTAATTATCCACGTTTCTCCGTATATATTTGTATTCGAAAGAATTTGCTTGCCTGATTTTGCGGTTTCAATGTTTCAATTTTTATTACCGAGTTGGCGTTTGACTATTCGTTTCCCGTTAGTTTATTCATACTTAGAACTAAATACCTTGATGCTCACATACAGCCTTGGTTTACATTCTATTACATTGACATTACTTTCTATGTTTATTTGGTCTGGCAAGACCAAATCTACCGTCCGTTGAAAATATTTGATCAAAAAGCCAGTCTAGCCGAGAATAGTACCTACAAGAAACGGCGACCGGCCTATCCAGGCCTATTCTTCAATGCCGAAGATACTATACTATGCTATACTATACCATACTATACTATACTATACTAAGACCTTCCATGATCATCCTCCGGTCTCATTTCCGTCCGGTGGACTCCACACTGCCAATAGATAGACAATGAATGCTATCTGGGATTCGCGTAATGAATTAAGTAGTATTTTCGTTATTTTCTGCCTTCTTTTGTTATGTGCTTAAATCTTGAAGGTTATGATTTAGAATTAGTTTATTCTGTAGTATCGAGGCGCTGGACCTTTTTTCTTTGTCATCATACTCAGTGTTCTTAACTCGCGTTTCAAAGTGGGATTCGTGTTCGTTGATGACTGAAATAATTTTTTTCACTCAATTTCATCATTATTTTTCTCAAAAATTTCTATTAAATTTTACGTTCATTTTAGCGATGCTCCATGAACTTGTGCCTTTATTTTTATTTAAGTAGCAAACTCGGAATTACTTCCTATGGCTTCTTAGGTACGCGTTCATTTAAATTTCTTGTCTGAGTTCTGTTTACCGGAGCATTTTCAATACAAACGAGTATTCTCATGATCAAGATACATGTTATTTGTATGTAGTACGATTACTAGAATAAATGGCTTTTGAAATCCCTCGTTAGGAGGCTTAAAAATTTGTTCCTATATAGCGACATTGTACCTGAGGGGCCCCCACCACACAGTCCGCGGATATGTGACAGCATATTTCGGTCGTGAGACAAAGTATTTCATAGTGTATACCTCATTCTTCCTTCATCTGCCTCTTCTCGGGAGCTTATAAGCTGAAGCCCAGTCGACGTCTAGTCCGCGTGTCCGAATTTCTGATATGATCTTGAGCTCGTTTATTCTTCGTCGTTTCTCTGAAATGAAGAAGTCGCAGAATTCCTGGCGTCATTCTTAGTGCTGAATAATTTAGAAATCACTGAACTTTGTATCGGGTACGACCTTCAACCCAGTGGGTGATGAACAATTTATGACAGCCGTTGCGAGTTTTTTTTGTGAGCCGCTATGGGGTAAATCGGACGTTCAACTATGGCTACATCTATCATTTTAATGATATTTGAATGTCCTTATACTATGGACGATAGTTGATACTAATGGGTAGGACAATCAGTCCAAATCAGACCGTGTTTTATATTTAAATTGCATCATTTCTATTATCCAGTAAACTGGATAATTCTTAGTCATTAAATGACACTTGTACATTCCATACTAATCCAGCTTATTTATTCCAACTCATGTGAATCGAAATATAGCTCCCCCTCATACTTCTTGTCGATAAATAGTTTCATTATTGAACAAGATGGTAATGAATTCTAGTCATGTTAGAAGGAATATTTTCGTTACGTTATCTTCTGTTGCGCCGTTTTCGTAGCTGTGCATTGTTCTGATTTTTTATAATCATGAGGTATTTAGAAGTTAATTTTTCCATGATTATTGTTTGAGAACCGCGTTAAGTTTTCAAATTCTATGTTCTTGTTAATTTTTACGACCAGATTTTATTTATCATCGTAAATTATGCTCGTGTATTGTGTTCATCATTTGCAACGGCTCTTCAAAATATTTAAAATGTTTTGTTATAATATTCTTTTTAAATACTGTTCTTTTTTTGTTTGTTAATTTACCGGGAAACATTCCTGTTTTATAATTTATTTTTATTTGTATATACTGCATTATTGGAAGTACACACGTTCTTTGATTTTTTTTTCTTTGTCCTTTAATTTAAATTGTGTTTTTAACATCAAATTAACTATTTTCCTTTGGAAAATTATAGTCGGAAAAATTGGAAATTGCTTGACTTATATGCAATTATGAAATAAAGCGTACGTATAGTAAGGGATGATCTTCTATTTCAGAGTGACCGCGGAATCGAATTCGGAGAAAAAAATTGCTACCTAATAATATACCTACACTATATTTATTGTATATCCTGTCTGCAGTCTTGAAGTCACACACAGTAAAATATGCCGTGATAAAACACGAATATGTATAGTTCTTCATAATAACCCAGTGGCAGGAACAAGCAGAAAATCAGACTATCCACTACCATGAATTGAACTGCCTTTATTCGTCAATCAGGATAATGTTTCCATACTTAGTATGTCATGTTACGTGGAAAAAGTGATTGAGTGGTTCATCTTTCAAGATCCATGACTGACATTTAGGTTGATAGCTCCTAATATAAATAAAATGAGCATCAAAGGAGGAAGTATCTTGTTGATTTCATCCGTTCGTTAGTGGTAATGATGAAAATAAAAACAAAATATCGCTCTTTGGCTCACTGGTGCCGTATGAACAAACTGAAATGGTCATCATTAGTCATTTTATGGATGATTTTGGTACTCATTTTTTACTTCATGTCAGAGCTAGAAGAAAGACCCAGGGCAACTCCCAATTCCAGATTAAATTGCCAAGAAGTCTCAACGCTTCATCGAAAAGAACTTTTCGCTCTGCTTGCGACCACCACGCGTCTCTTGGACCAGCTTCGCATCAATCACTTTTTGTGTTTTAAATCCCTGTGGTCGGCTGTACTAGAGTCTGGGCCTTTCCCCTGGGAAATCAACGCCCACTTATGCACGCTTAACAATCCTGGTAATGACTACGATGAGCCAACGTTGTTGAGGACTTTTAGGAAGGCCAATCTTAACCTTGACTATAGCTCTGCCGAAGCCAGATACGTCATTAGCAACATGAGCCTGCCTGGCGGGTCGCCAACTGTGCAGGTAAATTTTGACGTCATACTCGAGTCCAAAGCCAGGTTTTCATTTATAATAAAGTTTGTTCGGCTATTAGGACAATGCATTCATAATAATACATGTTATCTGACGACCAATATTGAATAACCAAAGTTATGGGAGTTTAATCGAATTGAAGCTCACGCACCTTAATTACATAACTAATTGTAACGCTTATATTTTGTTCACCAGATTTTACGTTCGGATAAAAGTTTTGATTAAGCATACCAAAATACATAAAATTGTTTGCAGGTAACAGTTTTTGAAGAGGATCCTCGTGTAGGAGCGAACATATACAGAAGAGTTGGCTGGAAGAGACGACTTTTGCCGCCGAACTGCGACTCCCACAGCAGCTTGCAGTGCTTCCCAGCGTCGCTCGTGGCGCTTCCGCTGCCCTTAAGGACTTACGGGCCACTGAGACTGCCAGCTCCTCGAGACAACATGGAACTGCTGAAGTTTCACTACCCAGACATTTGGCATAAGCCTCCTACATGCTGAAATGTCTGCTGAAGTTTCACAACGCAGACATTTGTCATACGCTCCCTACTTGTTGAAGAATCATTTCTGCTGCTGAAGTTTCACTCCCCAGACATTTGGTATAAGCCTCCTACATGCTGAAATGTCAGCGCTTCTGCTGAAGTTTCACAACGCAGACATTTGTCATACGCTCCTTACTTGTTGAAGAATCGTTTCTGCTGCTGAAATTCCACTACCCAGACATTTGCATAAGCCTCCTATTCGCTAAACTATCAGTGCTGCTGCTGCTTCATTACTCTGACATCTAGCATACGCTTCCATCCTACCGAACCATCAGTACGCGATTGATGACATGAAAAATATTCATAGGAGGAAATAATGCTTGAGTAATATTCATTTCTCAAGCAAAACATTTGGTCAGCACTCTAATAGTTCTTCAGCGGATTGAATTGTGTCCAACATTGTGAGCACTTCTTTAAGCTGCAGTGCAAGGTAATTACTATCAGCGCAAAACTTATCTGTTAGTTAACGTACGAATATTAGCACCATTTTAAATGACGCAAATACATGAACAAAACTATTGGAATGCGGCGTTTCTTCTATTTTGTAGATGCAATGAGTTCAGTTCCATGTTTGGCTTGAAAAAATTCGATGCCAATCATTGGAGTTTTAGTTTCAACTACTGAATCGACTTTGGACCAACTTTTTTTAGCCAATCAACTACTGAATAGGGCAATAGGCTTTAGACGGACATTTTATGTAATTTATTCCTTGAAATTTTTTAAGTGGCTCAGAACAGACGAAAGCATAAAGTTTGAAGCATCAAGTGTTGAACAGAATCTATCTACTATAAACTAAAATCCATCCACACATTACCTTCTGAGCTCGGTTGTGTGCGGGCGATGTGGTGGTTTTTAATCTATGTACTATTTCATCGTTCGTATGTACTAATTTCTGTATGTAAATTAGAAAAAAATTGTCTATTTACGCTTTCAACTGTTATCTCATTTTTAGAGAACAATTTCTTTAAACTTCGCATAATTTCTTATGTATATTTGCCTTTTATATATTAAAGAAGAATAATTATCTCTCATCAGCAAAAAATTATTGTAAATTTAAAAATATAATTCAGACCCTTAATTGTTCTGATGATCTTTACATTGCGTTGGTAGAGCAAAAAGATCCAGGAATCGTTGATTTGTGAAATGTTTACTTAGCTCACGTACGCGTAGTACAGAAACTCGAATTTACGTTATTTTCTTTCAAGTTTATTACAATGAGCTAAGTAAAACAATTAAGTTATTTTCTCAGGCTGTTGCGACATTATGATCAATAGTAACGATAAAAAACTATAAACTCTCTTATTTTGATATCGAGAACGCGTACTGTAGAAAGAACTTATAAGTATATTACATGTATCACTTACAATGATATGTATATGATGAGTTTAACTGAGAGAGATGGCTCGTCAATTCATTTTGCTTCGTGAACTAACCGGTTGTATAGCTTTCATTAATTATACATTATACGTACATTCAATCTTTTCATTGAGTAATTCCTTCTACGTTACTACTGGGCAGTGTGGCCCAGTGGTCCATAGTACCAGGATTGGAACAGTGAGTTGCGGGTTCAATCTCGGCTTTCTGCGACAATTCTAGTTAAGATCGGCGAGGTGGTCTGGTGGTTGATAACAACAAAATTGGAACAGTGAGTTGTGGGAGTGAAAATACATCAAGTTGTAATCGTTCTGCGATGTCTATAATCGGCCACAGGCCTGATTCAACGCTGACACTACAATTACTATCATAGTTTTACTTGGTTATGTGTCAACACTAATAACTAATATTATAGTTGTCTTGTGACCGCATTTTAACACACAGAGATATACACACAGATGCAGAGATATTTTATACATAATATTCAAGTAACATCTTCCCTCGAAACATGTCTCCTAAATAAATTCAGTTTTCCTTTTATTTAAATTTTTACATTTCAGAGGCATATTAGGCGATATTCAACGCATAATATTCACGTAACGTAGTACATCGAGTCATATTTCCTAAACACCTACAGTTTTCTTATTAGTAGAAGAAATTTTCTTCATTTTAAGAGACATATTCAGCGATATTCAACGCAAAATATTCACGTAACGTCTTTGCTCGAGTCACGTTTCCTAAACAGATTTAGTTTTCCTTATATTCGAAGAAATTTTCTTCATTTTAATAGACATATATTCAGCGATATTCAACGCAAAATATTCACGTAACGTCTTTGCTCGAGTCACGTTTCCTAAACACATTTAGTTTTCCTTTTATTCGAAGAAATTTTCACGTTTTAGAGGCAGCGCGCAGTGCCGGGCGGCGGCAGCCGTGCGCGGGAAACTCGAGGGCGTTCATCTCAGAGTGCCACGGACCTCTTGGCCTTGGGAGCGAGCGCGGCGAAGCTCGTCCGGGGGCTGGCCAGGGTTGCCAGATGGCGGGAAGAGAAACGGCCAAATCTGCTCGCAAAATCGGGCCAAAACCGGCGTAAAATGGAATGTGTATTAAAATAAATTATACTTTTCATGGTAACGATTGAATATTCGTATAACTTTGAAGCGACAAAGAATTTAAAGCATCATTGATTTTTCTAGTAAACGCAATTGAAGAGATTCCACATCGTCAAATTTGGCCAGAAAAAGGCTCTTCTGGGAAGCCAGTGACTGGCGTCTTATAAATGCAACGCTACACTGCGTACTCCTGTGATTACATCATGCTTTATGGCTGTAATGTTGAGAACCCAAGCACCGTGTCTTCGACGCTGAATTTCGTTAATTACGACTACAGGAAAGATTTTAGAAAATAGCGTTTACGTGCTAGGGAATATTATTATCAGTAGTTCAGGTTTCCGAGTATGTTAATGACATTTTTTTAATAATGCAGTTCAGATGTTCTCAACTTTACCATTGAACGTATTAATGTTCATTAAATTTTGAATGTTTTTAGTACTATTATAAGACGAATTCTATCCGATAAATAAATTTTTGAAAATGTAAATTCAACTTTTGAGATGGTCCAATTGTAAAAAATTTAAACCCTGATAGTTATCTTAGGTGATGATAATTTTAAATTTAATTTTTTTATTAAAAAAGTTTTTTTATAATGCGTTACCCATGTTGATAAGCATCACATTTGTTGAAAACGTAAATAAATATCATAAAAATGAGGCTATAGGGTAGAGCTCCCGTGAGTGACGCTGCCAAAAGCCACCACGGCGTTCGAGGGGAAGGCACTTCTGACCTTCAGGCGACATCATCAGCAGCGCCGAGCCGTGTTCCTGTACCAACGAGAGGTGCGGTTGCTGGCACGGCAACTGCCTTTGTTTCAGATTAATAAACAATGATACTGTGCTTATAACACCTCATTATTTCGCACCATCGTTGCTACTTCAATATATCGCACCTTTTTTATTACTTAATCATTCCTGTATCAGCAAGAGGAGCGGTTTCCAGATGGGTATGAGACACTGCATTTGTTTCAAATTGAACGACAATTCTACTGTGCTTTTTAATGCTTCATTATTCCGCACCATCGTTACTACTTCAATATACCGCACTTTTGCTATTACTTAATCAGTCCTGTATCAGCGAGGGGTGGGGTTTCTAGATAGGTATGTGGCACTGCCTTAGTTTCAAATTGAACGTCAATTTTACAATGCATTTTTTAAAACTTCATTATTCCACACCATCGTTACTATTTCAATATACCGCATCTTTTTTATTACTTAATCATTCCTGTATCGGCGAAGAATGCGGTTTTATAGTTAGATATTAGGCACTGCCTTTGTTTCAAAAATTCAAATTAATCTTAGGTTGTACAACATCTTTGCTATTGATGTTATTAACTTTAATGTCGCTTCGTGTCTTTGAGTCAGCCACAGTCCATGGTTTCAAACTCGTTGCCTGGGCAATATTACTGTGACCTCATGGATAGATGGTTAGATCTTGCTTAGGTAAGTTACCGTTTGCTCTGCTCTTATTCTAAAGTCAGTTTTACGTCGTCTACATAAAACGAATCTCATCTCCGAGTCCGAGTTTTGTTTCCAATTCATTATCATGTTTTTTTTTTGCTTGATTAACGTGTAAATTAAGTTAAATTTCGACAACCATATCACTCCATATCAAGCGAGCAAAATTTCAGATAGATTGGACAAGTAGAAGTATGTTAAATATCGAGTATAAAATTTGTAGCAGACAAACAAACAACAAGAAGTGAAGTTAAAGATGTGTGTGGAAATTAAGCATAATATCAACGTTTTTTTTAAAAGTGATAAAAAATAATTGAATTTCATCAATATAATGGTTATTTTCGAGATTCTTACATGATGACATACACAAAATTTTATTACAAACTTCGTTTAATTTTCAACTATAATTTTTATACGAAAATTTTTATTCAAGGTAAAACACAATTTGTTTGCACTATCAATAGGGTGACGTCTCGGATAAATTTACGGCCGGACTTGCGGCCGGTCTCCAAATTCATTGAACAAGGAAACTTTTATGTTCAAGTTTCTCAAGTTTTCACGGCCCCTTTGCGAATCAAGGTATCGTAAACATTTATTAAATGTATAATTTCAGAAAAAAATATCGTTAACATTTGTCTATTACATATTGAAAAGATATTGAAATTTAAAGATTTAAAAGACAAAAGATTGGGTTAAATATTTTACATTTATATGTATATTAGAGTAGATATCACCTTTAATTGCTGAACAATTTTCCATTGATACACAGTCTCTTATCGTTTTTATTCCTAAATTAAATATTCCAGGTAATGACGCGCGCTGCCAGTCCGACCGGTGCACAGAGACGCGACGTACGTCACTCTTGCGTCAGCTACGCTTTTCGGCATGAGCTTCAAGGTCATTTATGCGTAATCTTCGTGCATGGTTATCATCGTCTGCCATTTAAATTGCATAATCATTTTTATGACGAGATTTAATTGAAATTTAAGCGGTGACAATTTGTCTTTTCGGTATATATGAGTATGATGTTCAACTTAAAATTATTCTCTAATTCAGAGTGAAATGTTTTAAAAATCAATCTAATTGTTTCCATTTCGAAAATAGTTGGGTGCATTCATGCACGTAAATGTTCTAATTCTTCTAATAGGGTAGTAGTGTCACAAATCATTGCGTATGCATACGGTTGGCGGAAACAAGTACGTACACCACAAGCCAGTGTACATAGTAATGCACACGCGATGTACTAAAGTGCCAAGTACCTATCACCCCCTCCCTTACCTAGTTGCCACTACCAGGATGGGCAATTACAACAACAAGTACCAAGGTGACGAGTGCGACAAGCCAGTGGCATGAGTGGTACTAAAGTGCCAACTACCGAAATCGAGTGCCACAAGCTATAGTAGGTGCCAGTGCCTCGATCGCGCAGCACTGCCCAAGGCACTATATGACCTTCGAAAGTCTCGTTTGTCTTAGCGAACGCTCAAGAATTTGATCAATAATATTCGAAAAAAATCTTAGATAT